TAAAATCATAAATTGGCTGTTTTAACATAAGAAATGGCCTTTTCATAATAATGACTTTGAACAAGAATTTTTTAAAAATATCCTTTAAAAAAGGTCTTTAGCTAACATGTTCCATCACTAACAATGGCTTATCAGGGTGCCATCAACTCTCACAAAAACCTATAGGGCTGGGGAGATAGCTCAGTAGAATAAGCTCTTCCCTGGTGAGTACAAGGGCCTGAGTTCAATCCCCACTTCTGAGGAAAAAAAACAACTATAAAATGCATAGAAATAAAAAGTGACAGTGTCTGCTATATCTAAACTCAATTGGAAATTACTTTAAAAATACAAGAGGAAACTTGAGCATCCTGACACACACCTGTCATCCCAGCACTTGGGAAGTTGAGGTAAGAGGATCTTTAGTTAAAGTGCTGTTTAAGCAAATTAACTAGATCCTGACCCAGAATTCAAAAGAGCTGAGGATATAGGTCAGTGATACAGTGCCCTTGGTTTAAAACCACAGGATATAGATATAGATATAGATATAGATATAGATATAGATATAGATATATAGATTTTTTTTTCAGTTAACCAACATACTTTTTTTTCCAGTTAATCAATCACATACCTGGTCATTGTACTGAATTATATAGGAATATTCTGAATGACTTAAACACTTTCTGTTTCACTGAAAAATACATTTCTTTCATACAAATAACCTTGTATGTGATTGGCAAAAGAATATTGTATGATGCAGAAATTGTGTTAGTTCATGTACAGTTTCCCCAGAATATAATGCTTTGAAACAAGGAAGATTTTATTATTATACTTAATTTAATTTAGCAAAATTTTAATGTAGGAAGTCAATAGAAATGTCTTCTTTTAGTGTAAAGGCAGGGTTGAAATCCTCAAGTACCTCTGTGCATAGAGCCTTCTCCTTATGTTAAAACATATAATCAAATATTTTCTTTTTGTGATATCAAATGCCCCTCAGTTCCTATATCAAGGGAAAAAGGATGAGGGAGACTAATTTTTAAAGCATTTAGGACACAATGGCTGTGTTAGTTTTAGGTACACATATTAGTAGAATAACATGTAAATTTATTTAAATTTTTTTTAAAAATTACGTATTTGGTACAGGGTCTCACTACACAGCTTGGACTTGTAGTGATCCTCCTGTTTTCAGCCTCCCCAGAGCTGGGATTATAGGCATGTGCCAACACGCCCAATCTTGTTGGCTAGCTCAGCTCATCCAGGGGCAGGACTGGCGTGGTGTGTGAAGCCGGGATTGAATACCAGTCCCTGTGCTTGCCTAAGCAGGTGCTTAGTCTGAACTAAGTATCTTTTCATTGAGGTCATTATTGCTTTTATCGAGTATTCTAGTAACAAAGTTTCACAAGTGTGGAGCGAAGCTCCCTAAACATGTCCTGCATCATGTCCTGTTATTTTGGGAGCATAAATTTTCAGAAGATATTTTATTTCTTGTACAGAACACACACTCTGCTGGGTTTTAGCACACGTCGTACTCTAAATAACCTACACATTGAAATTTTTACCTAGCTTAGACAACTAAAAAAATCATTTTTATAATCAAAAAATGATACAATAATACAGAACTAAACACATATCTGGTTAGCTATAATATAACAGTGATAGCAATATATTAAAATAAAATAATTTACTCCATCAGAACTTGTGCTTATTGTATTACAAGTTCTAGAATGCTCAAGTATGACTGAGTATTCACTTTCAAACCAAATGATGGGTTTCTTTAAGCAGTAAGCATATACTACTTCATAACTTCTCTTAAACAGATACTGTCATGAATTTTTTGGAAACATTCTTACCTCATAGGAAAAAAACCTCCTAGAATTTCCCTTATAATCTTTAATATTATGGAAATAAGTTTCCTTAGATAGAAGTTTTAGCTTGACTTTGAAAAGTGGAAACTATAAGGAGACATAATTACAAAGAGAGTGCTAGAGAGCTGGAGTTTGCTTTCTTATTGTAAAAGTATTTCTACTTACTCGACATTCTTCGTCCAATCTGGAGGGTTACTCAAGGTCATAAATACACAGTTGGTCAATATAGTGCACATGATAAGCATGCTGAATAAAGTAGATTACAGTTAAGGAATATACATTAGATTGTTGTAATGTTTAAAGTTACCCAATATAAAAAAAAACAATTAATCAGCTTGGGATAACTGTGAAATTAATCTTACTCATTTGAATTAAAAAAATGATTTTTAAAAGAGACTTCAAGGCCCATCATATGATTGGGTTTACTTTTTCACATCATTTATTTATAAAACTGAATTTAACAAAGATGTATATGAAGCAAGTGGGAATCATTTTGCATCCCATTTCACGTAGTGAAGTTGCACTTGTGGGACACTTACCATTCTTTCAGTTTCCAATATGACATAAGCCATAAGCTGCACTTCAGGTATAATTCTCCACCAACTAATGAATGCAATATAGAAAGCTGAGATCTAAAGCAGTCCATTCAAGGGTCACATTGGCTGGGACATAAAGAGGTGCTCAAGTAACCTTCTAGTGATGTAGCTCATTTCTCTATAGTTTGCAACATGGGAAAGGGAGGGTGCAGCTCTGTGCTGATAAGGTAATATTATTTTCCAGTTTTTTTGTTTCTACTTAATAATGTAGAGGGACCTACTGTGGCATCTACTTAACTTTGTGTCTAGTCTACATCTTCCCAAACCAGGTGAGCACTATTCTACAGCTGTCCTGAGAATTAGAAGTCATTTCTCTTGGCATAAAAATACAGATTTCAGTGTATGAAAGTTTAGAATTATTTTGAGGAAAATATTTTTAAACGTAAATATGTTCCAGTATCGAGTGATGAGAATATTGAAACACACTTCAAAAGGATATCCTGGCCATTTGCCGTTTGTATGCAAATTGGATTTTTTTTTTTGTTTATACATGGGCCTATTTTGAATTTGTCTATATAAAGTAGACATTCTTGAACACTGTTAAAATCATCTTGCTGTTTGATTATTACTTAACATTTTTTTGAAGTTAACATGTATTCTTCCCCTTCACATATATGTTTAGACTGATATAAATTTGTGTGTGTGTATGTGTGTGTGTGTGTGTGTGTGTGTGTGTTGGGGTTCAGGGTTTTAAGCATGCAAAACAGCTGCTCTTCCACTGAGATGAGCATTATCCCACAAATAATTTTAACTTTAACAAGATTTTGCTGTATTTTCAACAAGGTGTGGAGGCACATAAACTAGTCATTTAGTAAATATTTGAGAAGAAAAGAAGGAAGGATAGACTTAGGGGCTAAATGCATGGAGACAACTAAGGCAAAATGTGAATACTTAGCAGCACAGGTAAGAGCACTAGCTCCAATATATTGCTTCTTTACAAATACTTATACGTGACTTAATTGAGGCTAATGACGGCATGAAGGAAATTCGCTCCTGCTCTGCTGTACGATGTGCTTCATTAACACAGTCCTTCTCATGGTTTTACTCTTCCACAATCAATAATAATGCTATAACAATCTTGCTACTACATAAATAGCAGAAAACTAATAGGACTATCAGACTAATAATGTTACCACTCATCTCAAAAAAACACACAAATATCTAAAAGAATGACATTCCCTTTAAAAATCACATTTTAAATAGCACTCAGACAGTTCACATAAAAAGGATATGAGTGTACTAAAATCTTAATAGCAATTTTCCTAACAGGGTTTAGTGGAGTTAAAATATACAAGGCAGAGGTGGCACTGAATCGGAAAATTGCCTTCCCTTTATTCAATACTATAAAAGTCTGAAAAAGAAAGTATGGGGAGAAATACTGAGTTAGATATGTATTTGAAGAGTTATTTGAAGAGTTTAATACATCAAGATCCTTTTTGAACTTTATTTGTTCAGATTTGTTTCTTTAAACCAGTTATTACAGCACAAACATATTATACGGATACTATAAATGTTAGATATTTCTCCCCCTAAAGTAACAAACACGTACAAGTAAAAATTTAATTTACTATTATCTAATCTGTCTCCAAGACTCTAACTTGCTGATATAAACTGATATCCTACACAAAGTTTTTTTTACCAAATTATACTGCAGCTTTACAGATTTCAATTCTATTTAAAGCTTACCATCTGTCTTCAGCTTTGGTAACTTCAGCTTTGGTATTCAGTACACATTGCTGTTAAAATAACCTTTTACAAATATTTTAATTATATCAAATATTTTAGCTCCAAAGTTTGTAGTGTCTTGGTATTGTTGCTAAAGAAACTCTCATGACTTAAACTATTCAAGTAGGTTGAAGGACTTGGTTTCATGGATACTATAGATCCGGTGAGCAGGGACCAGCTTCCCAGCTAATACTGAGAAAGGACATCTGCTCTGAAAATCAGCCGGAAATATACCACTTCAAGGAATCTTGTGTGGCTAAATTTCCATCATCCAAAACCTACCATGACCAATTTGGCACTTAAGCTACGCTTTCTAGGGATTACCTACCACATCCCTCTAGAATTGTCTTTTATTTTTTTCCCACCCAAGTCATCTCTGCTCTGCCCAATCCTCTTGTCAGTCTCAGTGCCAAATGTCAGACTCTCCATCTGACCCCGAAAACATGTCACACATCCTTAGAGAAACGTGATGGCACCAGAAAATCATCATATGAAAACTCCTTGCCATTTCAGGAAGATGTCACCAGAACAGACTTGACAATAAAGTTCTGCTTACAATGACCCATTATTTATCAAAGGTTCTTACCACACCTTGTATACCAGAATGTTCTGGAGAGATTTTTAAATTGCTAATTTCAGTCCCACCTCAGACAATAAATTAAAATTTTTGGAAGTTGATATAGCTTTGTGTATTTTAAAAACTTTCCTCAGGTGATACTATTGTACTTTCAAAAATTTCCTCAGGTGGCTCTATGATGAACTCAGGGTTTAACCTGCTTTCTGGAGGTGTTCTCAGCTGTCAAAATGATCTCCTGTTTTATATATTTATGCTGTCTTCTCATCACTTCTTTACCAGTAACCTTTGATGTATTCATTTGCGTTCATTTACATATTGCTTTAATGAGCCACGTGATTCATTTCCATATAGTGTTCATTCCAAGCAAGATTACATTAGATGTTACAAACCACTGGCCACAACGAGCCTGTAATCTACTTCTCCACTTGCCCACAGTATCTAATAGGATGGGTTGCAAAAACTTGTTTTAATTAAATATTGGTTTGCCATTAAGATGCTGTTCACCTTTACAGTGTCTATTCAATATATTGATTTATTCAATAACATATTTTTACCCGTCAGCCAAGGGTGGCATCCCACACATCATGTTCACTGACAACATGCTCTGTTTGAAGAGGTAGGCAGAAATATTTATATTGTGAGTATAAAGGTCAGGGAGAACAAATATTCTGCTTATTACCCTTTTGTCTTTAAAATCACAGAGCCAGCCATTACTTAACTAATCATATTCAATAAACTGCACTTTCTAAGTTAGAGGAAGAGGCTAATTAAACCACCTTTTACTAAGAGGAGGATTGTCTACAAGGGACACTAGACAGTGGGAAGATTGCCCTGGAAGTATAGAAACATTAAAAGATTGTCTTCATTCACGGGATTAGATCATTTCATATTATGGTCGAACAATCAGGGTGCATTTACACATTCAGTAGCAGTAGTAATATACAAAAGTTCATTATAATTTAAGGTACATTAACTTAGGCTTTTTTTGGAAGCAATTTCTCTTAAAAATAAGTTCTGCAATATTAGGACATAATTTTATTTTGAAATATCACCAAAGCCACCATGACTGGAAAGGAGCGGTCCCTTCCAACACGGGCCCTCCTGCTTCCTCCTGCAGGATTAGCCTGCACAGAACTAGTAGAATCAAGGTGCTCACGCTGATTGCCTTCATTAAGTTTGCGGTTCTGAAATGGTGAAGGCCTAAAGGATAAATTGTCAGTTTATTTTTAGAGGATAATGTCTCACACAAGACAATCCTGTTATGAGAAATGAAGAATAAAATACTCATGTTTTGTACAGTGAAAGAATTACAAGAAAGATATTAGAAATTTGAGGTTCCGATATTATTAATGATGTACTTTAACCAAAAATTTCTTGAGAATATGATAGATAATTAGGTGGCAGACAAATAGTGTTAATTCCAAAGTCAGATTTCTAAGCAATGATGTGTCTTTAAAAATTAAGACATGCTGCTACTACCATTATTAATACTATCACTGAAAATATGTTGCATCAGATTTTTTTTTCCGTCTGGAATGAAATTTGCTTCTTTTCCCCAGGCAAATGCACATCTTCTGAGTTTGCTAATATTTTTGCCACTTTGAAGTAAGAATAAGTTTTACATATCAATGTGGATGAGCATGTTAGTCACAGACATAAGAAATGATACCGCTGAATTTTGAATCCTTTTGTGAGATTAATAAATGCTACGCATAATTACAGATACTAGTTAAGAACTCTGTTTCTGGAGCTGAACCTGAGCAATTCAGCTCCTGGAACCACCACTTCTGGAGTGAGGTCCTGCTAATTTCATCAACCTTTCTCTTCTCCCATCTGTAAACTGAGGCTAACAATAGTCATTGCCTCACTGGCTCACTGAATATTAAATGCGCTGAAGCACTCCACTGGTGTCAAACACAGTACATGTGCAGCAAGTGTTAGCTATTATTATCACGCGCACTATTTTTAAACTATTACTCTGGTCCATCATCATTATTTTGAAGTCATTTTCCTGGTCAATAAATCATTAAGATGTATTTTTATGTTACTCATCTAGTTAAATTAGCTACTAAAATAAATCACCACTTTAATGTGCAAAGGTCACATTATTAAGCTGTACAGTGTCTGTCTGTCTGTCTGTCTGTCTGTCTGTCTGTCTGTCTGTCTATCTAGAGTTTCACTAAGTAGCTCAGGTTGCTTAAAACTAGCTCTGTCACTCAGGATGGCTTTGAACTTGCAATCCTTCTGCCTTCCAGTCCAGGGATGTTAGGTATGGACCACCATACTGAACTAAGCTCTATAGTCTTAAGATACCTTTTACTGGTGTCATTTCATATCATTAACATAGATTTATGCTATGTTTTTAAATTTTAGAATTTCTTGCATTAGCTTCCTCCAAAACTCCTAAAAATCACGGACTATACAAGTAGAACCTCAATAGTCATCATATAAATACTTTATGAATTAAAATACTGCTGCTAGTTAACAGCCTCTCAAGATGGTTCACACAACTGTGACTAAATCACTGTCCAAGTCTTGTCCATTCCTGGAGACCATAAAAATAGCTTATGCCAGCAGCACACAGTGAAAGACTCACATTACCCAAACTTATAAGCATGACCCATAAAATCAGATGCCAATCTATGCACAATAGGAAAAATTTTCATATGTTGTGGATTAAATAATTTCAACGGCATACCTAGCATATTCTTTCCATTTAGTAGATCTACAGATAAACAAATTATAAGCAGAATTTTTCTTGCTGTACATACAGTCCAAAGCAGTTGGCTTAATTAAATACAATAAACAGTTGTCATGATAGGCAGTATGCAGTAGTCCCTTTACAATGGAGTGGCCATGTCACTGAGAGGAAAATGTTTCAATCTTACTATTTAAGGTATGTCCCTCTTGCATTATGTTTATCTTTATTATCCTCCTTTTCTTTCCAAAATCATACCAAGTGGCTCAATTCCTTTTATTTAGGTAGCAAATGCTTTTAATTATGTCAGAGTAAATCATATCCCTCTATTTTGAAGACATTTACAAACATAGATATTGTGGACCAATACTGTCAGAGAAGAATGCATTTCTAGTTCCTTAGCTTATGTCTCATCATGATTACCAGCTATAAGAATATAGTAGCTAAATTTCAAAACTATTAATTCTGTAGTATACGAGTGAAATAAATTTTATTTATAAGTACATGAATATATGCAGATTTAATGCAAATTTTGTGAAACTAGTTTAAAAGGAATAAAAGCAACATGCATAACTGTTCAATTTGTTTTTATGAGTTTTAGTACCTAAAGTATTTTAAATATCACTACTCAGAGTGTGGCCTACATTCTCCCTACATAATGGGGATCATCTAATGTTCATTGCAAGAAATTAAAGATCTCTTGGGTTGCATGGGTCATGGTGGGCCAAGTCTATATTCCCAGTAACTTAGAAGGCTGAGGCAAAAGGATAGCAAGTCAGAAATTGTCCTGAGAATTTAGTGAGACCCTGTCACAAAATAAAATTTTGAAGGGACCTACAGACATAGTACAATGGTAGAGCACTCGTGAGTCCCATCCTCAATACTGCAAAAAGAAGAAAAGAAAGTTGGCCCTACCCCAGGCCAGTGCAATAGGAATTGACACTTTTATAGCAAGTTCAGGCGATGTGTACAAGCAAGTTTGAGGGATATTCCTTTAAAACACTAGAACTGGTCCATTGGATGTGATTAGTGTCATTTCCTCTGGCCAGCACCTATAATTTCAAAGTGTGCATTCTTTGAATGAATTTTCTTCAAATATTGCCTTTTTAAACAGTTTGTTTTGACTACTTAAAATGTTCATATCTTCTTTAATCCAAAGCCATCAACTCATAGTGACATTAATTTATCTTTAGTTTTATATTGAATTGTTTTTAATACTGAAGAATAAAAATATAAACTGTAATAAAATGCCAAAATAGTTAATTAGAAAGCATAGCATCTTCACCCACCTTGTTTAACCATAGAAATTTGTTAATTCTGACAGGACAATGTGGTTATCTTAACATTAGGAAAACACAGTTATAAGGGCTGGCCAAATAGCTCAGTGCACTAAAGTGCCTGCTCGGACAGATGCAGAGGCCAGGGTTCGCTCGCTGGTGTGCAGTGCTGGCCCCACCCCTGGGGCATGCTGAGACTGTGATTGAGACTGGGCGTGGTGGAGCGCGCCTGTAATCCCAGCTTTTGGGAGCCTGAGCACAGGTGGATCACTTCGAGTCTAATATATGTAGTAAGACCCTGTAGACCCTTACTAAGATTAAAAAAAAAAAAAGGAAAATACAGTTATCACTGTTGCTTTGAATGAAGTATAGATGGAGGACAACTGAAAGTTGTTTTTTTTTTCCTAGTTCATTTGTTTTAAAGCATTCTAATCTTGACATGTTTTCTTCCCTCAGAGAAATGTTTTAACCACATATAGTTGTTCCAAAAAGCTCTTAATTATATTCTAGGTTAGTGGACAGAAAACAAAATGTAATTCTGGTTGTATATGCTTTCACATGTACTATCTGTCTACAGTAAGGTGCTAAGTTGGAGGTTACTATTGGTCTCTATAATGCACAAGAAAGCCCATGCCAAGTAAAAAATATAAAATCAAGAAGCACAGCATCTGCTCATAATGTTGTTGCATATAATTTGAACTTTTATATAACTATTAGTTGGTTTTCTGTCATGTTCTAAGTAGCAGGTAATTAGCTTTATCTATGTCAATATGTCAATTTCAAATTTTGTTATATCAATTTGTGTGAAATAGAAATTATTAATTTATTCATATTTCTTCACTATAACAAATTATTCAGGTCTTATAAATGTTTCTGTTTATTATACTTTATATAAAACTAAGTGACAGTAAAGAGTATTATAAAATACTTCACAGGGAATATTTATGGATATATGTATATATTTATATATCTATAATACATACATATCAAGTGACGCCTCTGTTATCAAACTCAATTTGTTCTAGATTCATGTTCAAACACTGAAAAGTTTGAAAATTGAACATATTTTTCTCATAAGAAATAATGAGGGGCTGGGGAGATAGCTCAGTAGAATAAGTGCTTGCCTGGCTAGTGCAGGGTCCTGAGTTCAATCCCTGGTATTGAAAAAAAAAAAAAAGACACCTTGAATAACAGGTTCTGAGGCCCTCAAATTACATTTATAAATGTATTTTTTTCAGAATTTTAACACATTTTGTAATGATTTCTTTCTTTAACTCTGTTGTGGTTGTTTTCTTCTTAACTCTACCATTGGTATCATTAACTTCCTTTGGAGCCATGGTTACAATATTTTACACAAATAAGGCACCAAAAAAGCACCGTGGTGAATGTTTTCATGTACTACCACAAGCACTGATGTTGCCTAGAAGAGATCAGGGCTTAGACTGAAGTGCTGCCACTTTGTGACATGTGGCTCACTCTTGGCCCTTATAGGATTTTTCAAGTTAGACTTTCTGTTCAACTATCCAGCAAAGAACACAAAGGAGATATTTTTTCTTTCAAGTTTTGCTGCTGAAATAATGGAGAGTTCAAACTTGGAGCTGTTCAACAACTGAAGTATCACTATATTTCACTGTCATAATATATCAGAAAAGCATATTAAAGTTAGTTGTTTAATTGAAGGCTTATTGGTAGTGTAACACCAATACTCACTTTCTTGTTGATATAGTAGGGGTCCAGGTCTTCCAGGGGCTCCGACACCATCTCTGGAGGAATGTCTCCATAAATAAATGGAAGGTTCTTTCCAGCTTCCAAGTCACTGTTGGGCTTTGGTTTGTTCTCATCATCATTGTCTTGTTCTTTTTTGGGCTTCTTGGCTTTCTCTTCTGCAGCACGTTTTTCGATAGCAGCAAGAGATTCTCTAGTAAAAAGGCGGAAGCTTTCAGGTCCTGGGGGTACCAGCAGTGCCTGTGCCATCTTTTCATCCTGCACATTTAATTACGTTTAGCTTCTTGCATAAGAATTATCTACAGTAAGTGAAAAATGCGTAAAAGTGAGGAAGGCAAGTGACAGAAGGAGAATAGGAAAGTCCAACAGGATGCCGTGTAATTGTCTGTAGTCATTTTTCAAGCTATGAATGTGAAGTCACACTTTCACGGCTTTTAGTTCAGAGACATTATCATTTAATGTAATTTTCAATAATTCTTTATAATATACCAAGGCTCTATTCTGTGTTATATTGTTTGATTTAGCCATTTTACAATGTGTTTATATATTGAAATGTTGCATTATATACAATAAATATATAGAATATCATTAGTCAATTAAAAATAAGCATCAGTCAATTAATAAAGCAATACTCTGCTCTGAAACCTTTGACACAAGATATGTTTTAGTATACTTTTGGTAGAAGAGTAATCAGAGAAGACCCTGAATACACACAAAGAACTCACAAATGATAGTAAAAGCATCAAAAAATGTAAGGAATCAGCCAAGTAAAAACTGGACCGAGAAGAAAGTATTACTGGCATCAAGAGGCTGTGAAGAATATGGAAGGGACAGACCCAACTGCTGGAGGATCTGGCTGGCTCCAAAGAACTAATGAAAAAGTCAGCTTACACTGAGGAGTTGTTGAGGATTGAGGAAACCATGGAAATGCCTTGAGTCTTTACAACTAGAGTGGGTGGACACTCCCATAAGCACAAGGTAACCTAGGACAAGACTTGGGAGTGTGCAGGTAAAAGGACTCTCAGTTGTGAGGAAGGCAACACAAAAGTCAAGGCCTACCACCTAAACCTCCACAATGTCAGAAGGTGATGACAAAGACATCAAAGCCTTTAAGGAGTCTTCAGGGCAGACACTGGACCCAGCCTTTTGTGTTACAAGCAGTAGGAGGGACCAAAGAGAATCTAAGGCAAAGCCTCAAGGGAAAGACCATACTGACAAACAGATAAATGATGTTCATAGCCCAAACAGCACTCTACAACAAATATCTGACAGTATAGAACCTCTGAAAACTTATGGAAGGGTTCTCATGGTCCCTAAAGAAAAACCCACAGATGATTTGGTGAACAGCAAAGACCCAGCAGCATCATGAAAGGTAAGTAATATGTTCCTTGGTTGAAAAAAAAAGTAGTGCTAAAACTACTTTTATCAGTAAAATTAAGTAATGGGCCATTCATTATTCCCCTCTTTCTTTTCCTAACTTAACTAACTCCTAAAATAATGAACTGCTCTTAAAAGTGAAATTATTGGATACATTCTTGACTCAAAAGATCGCAGGCTAGAACAGGGAATTCTGCCTAACTAAATGTTTTGGTTGTCAATATCACTTACTGTAGCACCAGAAAGGGTCTTAATATCAGCAAAAACAAGGAAGGCACTACCTCCAGAAAAATGTATCCATCATTGGCTAGGATTTCTTCACTCCTATTAAGCCAAATCTTTCCCTTCTTTTCATCTTGGAACCTTTTAAGGTAACTTCTGAGGCAATGAAGAATACGTTTACTTCCTCTTCCAGTTTGCTGTCCTTCAACTATTCCATGATAGTTTTAATATTCTTCATGAATCTGCCCTTTGAAGTAGTAACAGAATGAATGGTGTGATTAGACTCCCTCGCTCTAAACCCTGATTCTGCCGCTTCTGAGATGAGTGACTTTGGAAAATATAATCCCACATTATTACAGTCTTTATGAAATGAGAATCACAGGAAAATTGACCTCTCAGGATTATGAAGAATAAATGAGTTAATTGATGTTGTGTCTAGGACAGTTCTGAAATTAATAAGGACTACATTAGTGTCAACTACCATAATCAAATTATCTTCAGTTCTGTCAGCCATGATCCTTCTGTTTCGGTTTCAAGTATCTCATAATTCAAACCATTCTCCTTGAAGCAAAATCTTGATGTGCTGGAACTGATCTTGAAGCTTCAGGGAGGCAGTGAAAGGTATAAAATATCGGGGCACAGTTATGCAAAGCTGTCACCTATTGGGGAAGGAAAAGAGTGAAAGTGGGCAGGTGGAGGGTCCCTACTCAGTTTCCTAGGTAAGGAAAAATTTCCATCTGTAAGAAATTTGACAGACTGTCAAAACTACAGGAAACCAGATACATAAATGTTAAAACACAAGAATTAGTTACTGTATTTACCATTGTGCCAAAAACACATTTAAAAATTCAAGATAGAAAATAGAAATAATAAGAACAACAAATATGATGAGTATATCGCTTACTCTGCGAAAGCATCTATAACTATGGCATCAAAGGGACATATTTCCTGTCCCCAACTACTGCTCCTTCACACACCTAATTTATTCTAGTCTCCATAGTAGTTTTTCCTTAAGCAGTCTCCTAGTTCTCAGAAGTTTACTGCATAGGCATTGTTCTTACAGATGAGAAACTCTGGATTGTTCAATAATATGAGAAAAAATATAGGTTATAATGTATTTCTTGAATTCATACCTGAATTTCTAGTTTTCTGATGTTTTCCAATGACAAAATGTTTTTAATATTTGTTGTGTCTTCAAATTAGTATTTACAGCATTGTCATATAATAGTATCAGGCCTGTCAAACAACTACACTATTTTTCCTACACATTTTTTTTTAAGGACTTCTTTTTTTTTGCTTTTAAAAAAAAATCTTTTTCTTTATTAAGTAACACATGAATTAGAAGTCTTGAGAGCAATTCCATTTTACTCAAAAACTAATTATTTATTTTTTGCTTTCTAAATTCATGGCAGGCAGCTTAAAATTGAACTAATGTCCACGTCATTTCATGTCAATTTTGCTGCCATATGGACAGTATGACTCTAGGTTATGGAGTCTGGAGCACAGAATGAGCTGGAGCATTTTCTGCAAGCCTCAAATACCCAGAGACGGGTGAGGCACCTGTCTCCCATCTCCTGTCATGAACTGAACTGCTGGGCTCTTCCCAAGGCTAAATGCGGAAGCACCAGCACAAAAAGCATGACTTAGGAAGGTGCCCTGAAACATGGTTACTCTGTAGGGGTGAAGAGAGGTACTTTTGCATTTGAGTATTTTTGTTTTTACATTACTTTGGCTTCTTTGTTAACTAAAAATGAAACGAAAAACATGCTGAAGTCAGGATGGGAAATCTGGGTTAATATAGAATCTGCCACCAAGAGCTTTCCTGAGTCATTTAACCTTGCACAACCTCAGCTTCTTCGGTCCACTTCATCATGCAGCCAATAAGACTTTGTCCTAGAGACTTCCGGCTCTTAAGTTTTCCAGATAAAATTAAATTTGAAGTATCAAACATGGAAATCTCTCAGTCACATTCCAAGGTTATTGTGACGTCTTTAAAATGATGTGGATATATGGAGTCATAAGACTGTAAACATTTATTTTCAAAGAAATAAACAAGCTCCTTCTTATTCATTTATGGATCAGAGTAAAGAATTTTTTCTTGACAAAAAGGAAGGAAAAAGTCTCTGAAATGCTCATATTGTGTCTCTAATTCCTGAGAAGACAGGTCAATTTCAGACTCTTGGGTTTTTCTTTATCGGGGCAATTAGAGCTTGTTCAATATGTTCATAAACCCAGAATTTAAAGAAGTCAATGAGTAGAATTTCTCATAGCTTCACCCACAGCTTTGTAGTTTAGAAATCTCTGTTCTTTGGAAAGTCCATTTTCCTTTTTTCTTCTTTCTCATTCTTTGTGAGCTTATTATACAGAGCTCTTACACAATTTTATAATCATATGAAATGCACTTAAAAATTAATTCTCACTGATACATCAGTAGGGGCCATAAATTATTAATGGATATATGTACATTATAATTTATTAAAGTATATTGGCTTAGTATTGTAAATTTTTACCAGAAATATCTTTTCAAGAACAAAAAACTAAAGGTGGAAAAAATCTGAGGAGCTATTCATTCTGATTGGAATCTAAAGAACTAGTGTATGTGAAGGTTTGCTAAAAAAGCAAATGCAATCTTCTTCTAAAAGTAAGAAGACTGGTTCAGTGCATCCCATACTAGAAGTCTTGAGAGCAATTCCATTTTAGGATTATGGAATTGTTCTCAAGATTATAAGAACAGACACAGAATTTTAAACTTGGAAGGGATCTCAAGATCATTTATTTGGGAAATATTTATTGAGAACTCTATGTATAAATAACTTTGCTTGCCCCAGTACTGGAGCTCTTTTTTTCTCAAGGATATGACAGTCTAATTGGAGACACAGATGTTTATACAGGTAATTATAAAGCAATGATATGCAACTGTTGATTTTTGGATTCATTGAAGGGCAGAAGAAGATGTGGTTCCAGAAGTTTCCCTGGAGAAGTGATGCTGGAGTAGGTTTTGTAGACCAAATCAGTTTGAGGGTGTTTTTGGGTGGGGTTGTTTGGGGAAAGGAAGGAAGATATATGCTAAGGGACATGATGAGCAGGTGTTGTCATGTGTTTGTGCTCAGAAACAAGAAGGAACATGGAGACTCTGGGAAGAACTGCAAAAAGGCTTTATGGTGGATAGCGACCTGCACAAAGGGAATGATATGGGGCAGGACTGGGAAATCAGGTAGGATAGATCACCGAGGTTCCTGTACAGCACACCATGGCAGGCCAGGGATAGTAGGGATCAAACTGTAGGTTAGAAAGAAAGATGATGGCAGAATGAGGGCTGGATAGGCAAAAAGTGCTCTTAGAGTGATAGCTTCCAAATACTTTGATTTCAGGATGCCTTTACATTCATAAAATAATCCACTAATGCCAAGAAAACTAATGTCCTTCTAGGTAATTGGGAAAATGATTGGATTCCATTAAGACTCTGCAAATGATAGTTTATTAAAATAATTTTAATGAGTGCTCTGAAATCACTTCCAAGGGTCTTTGATCACTCTTGTCTTTGAATGCATCTTTTAACTAACTGTGAATGATTCTGTGTCATCATACACAGATGATTGGAAGATATTTTATTGTTATGTAAATATCCACTCTTTTGGCAAATTTTATTG